AAACGAACCTCCTAACAAAACAAACAAGGGGCGCAACAATGTTCTACAACGAAAACGGTCGGCCTGCTAAACGGATGACAAAGCTTAAGAGATGGGTTGCAAATGAGGTTTTAAGCAACAAGGGTATTCGCGACCAACTAAAGTTAGAGAAACCAAGGGTTTAAGGTAAGGTAGTAAGATGGATAGGTTTGGTCACAACGAAATTCAACACCAAAACCATCGGTTAACAAAACGAGATACAAGACTTAGAGCTAGGTTGAGGGTTCACAAAGGTAAGATAAGAAAGAAAGATAAGGTGGTAGATAAAAGATTTACCGGAAAGGAAAGCTAACTTCACACCGAGCCTAGCTCTTGCTCAAAACTAGCTAACGATCTACTCAAAACGAGACGGCTCAGCTAAGGAACAAGCCACAAACAGAAACTGACACCACAAGAACTCTAAACTAGATCACTCGGGATCATGGAACTAGGATTGCATCTTCAACTGCTCTCTGCTGACTTCTTCAACCAAAGGAAACAAGGTACTCCCAGTACTTAACTTGAGCTCGGCATCTGCGTGAACTTGATCCGTCACTTCTGACAAAAGCTTCAACTGCTAGATCCAAAACACGAGTTGGACGTCCTTCTCTCCGGCTCTAGGGTGAATTTGATGCAGGCTACCGACTTAACACTTGCATTAGCCCACAACCCGCTACTCGCTGCAAGGCAAAGCTTGAAAACTTCAAGGTTTCGGTTCGGATGAAAGGTCCAAAACAGGGACGGTAAAAAAGGAGAAAGGTAACTCAGAGGAAAGAAGGCTCACAAGAAGAGATGCGGTTCAACGGAAAGGATTAGAGTGAAAGGTTTGGGTTCAGAAACTCAAGGACCACGTTACTTAGGAGTAGGATCAAAGTCATCAAATTTGCAACTTAGGAAATAAGGTTTCCACATTGCACAGAATCGTTAGAAGCGGAGAATACAAGAACGAGGATCGATTCAAGGGACGATCAAGGTAAGAGTTTAGGTTCAACAATTCGAGGACCATGTTGATGAAGAAGAAGAGGGTTGTAAACAGGGCTAAAACTCAAGGAGTAAGGAATCAAAACGGGGTTTTAGGGATTGAAAGAATTTCCCCACGGAAGGTATCTGGTTTAAACTCAAGGAAAAAGTTGATTAGGAAGGGAATCCAGATTTTCAAAGTCACGACTTAGAAAAGATGAGGTGGTAACCTTGAACAGAATCAAATCAAAGAAGGAACAAGAACGAGGTTTGAAAGAATTGAAAGGATTTCCTAATGAAGGGTACTAGATTTAGGCTCAAGAATAACGTAGGTTAAAAAGGAAATCAAGATTTTCAAGATTACAACTTAGGAAAACGAGGTTGTCATCTTGAATAGAATCAAATTAAGAAGGAAACAAGAGCGTGATTCGAAGAGATAGGAAAGATTTCTGAGGAAGAGACGTTTGGTTTGACAAGAAGATGCTAGAAGGACGGTTTAAAGAGGGTTAAGGATTCTCGACTTCAGGCTACTTCTTCGACTTGACGCTTCGATCACTGCACTATAGACGAACTGAAGGCTCTCTACTTTGACTCGGACGTGGTTTAACTCTTAGACCTTGCCAGATTCCTTCATAAGCTGATGTCACCGCCGCCATGCACAAGATGGTTTGGAAAGAACACAAGAACAAGGTTCGGAAGAAAAGGATCACTTGGCAAAGGGGTCACTGGGTTTGTCTAAGGGAAAGGAAAGATTAACGAGGGTCAAGGGTAACACTCAAACAAGCTAACACTCGAAACTGACACGCAAGGAAAGGCATAAAGACGAAGGAAGGTGCAACTAAAGGGTACAAGAGCTCACTTCAACGGTTCCCACTTGCATCTGCCTCACGACTGTTGATCTTGCCTTACCGAGGTTGTTGTTGAGTCTGTTGAAGTCTTCCTCTTAGTCCTGCACTCAAAGGACCGGTGACCTTTCTTGCTACAAGCAAAGCATTCTATCGGCTTACCATGACAGCCAACGCCGGGGTGGTCACTTCCACACTTCTTGCAAACGGAGCGCCTTCCCTTAACCATGATCTTCCGGATTGGCTGGGGAGCCTTACCTCTCTTAGAGTCGTCCCTTTGCAGGCTTCTTGTTGATCCAACACTAGCAGCTGTCAAACTCCTAACCACAGGTGAAACGCTTTCGTCAAGCTTCTTTTTACGGTTCTCCCGGATTCCTTTTTGAACTTGCTGAACTCGGTAGAGGTCGATTGCACAAAGGTAGGCCTCCTTGACTTGAGCAGGATAGCACCGCTCGCGTAACTTAACCTTCAGGTCTTCCCAACTGAACTCCAGATCTTGTCTACAAGCTGGCCTTTCAAGCATCCACCACGAGTTCGCTTCTTGCCGAAGGTAGAACGTAGCCAACTCCACCTTGCGATTCTCCGGGCATACCACAACTTCGAAGATCTTGTCAAACATCCGGATCCACTCGTCCAGCACTGCGGAATCTTCTTCACCGGCGAAGATCGGGGGACGGAGACTTGCGACTTGGCGTACTATGTCACGATTCCCATACCGAAGAGGGTGGTTGTTGAGGAGGGCATTGCTCAGCGTCTGGGTGATCTGTGTCAGATGATGGAGACTTTGAGCTAACTGTTCACGGGTGACTGCTTCTGAAGACCTTGCACGACGTCTCGATGGTGCCATCCTCAACTTCTACAGCAACAGCACGATAACGGGAGGAAACTCAGGGCCCGCACCCTTACCTGGTGCCTTAACTAAAGAGAACCAAAGCTAAAAGGAAAACAAGCACAGGAAACACAACAGAAAACAACACAAGAACTCACAACCTCACCACGCGTCCTAAAGTCCTAAGCCTAACACTTAGATTCTTAAGGTCACCTTAAGGTCTCAAACCACGCTTAGTGTAACACCCCCTAAAAACCAGCTATTTAAAAGCCTTAGACATGCAGATAACTGAGCTAAATGACAAACACAGCGGAAGACTGAAAGATAACTAGATAAACATAAATCCAAAACACGGGGTGTTATGCCACGTTCACCAAAAGGATGAACGCTACGGCAACATCTGCGACGTTTACTTCTAATCCATAGTCTCAAAAGGCTACAACTAAACTGGCACACAGGCCACAAAACAAGAGGGAGAAGCTACACTAGCAAGCACTAGATCGCGCACTCGTCTAGACATCACCTGAAAGAACACAATAAAACATGGGATGACGCCCGGTCAGCGAACAATGCTGGTAACCCACCAATACATGTGAAATATCATACATAAGTATCATTTTCGAAACGGAATACATAAGTATATAAGTACAAAACCAAGAGCAATAGTCAACACAAGATTCACCAGTCTCAACAACAACACAGGAACATATCCCAAGACCACAAAGAACTACACGACTCACAATAAGGGTTCAAGGCATGATCTATCATCACACAATAGATCAAAACCCGGCATGCACAACGCAAAGGAATAAGACTCACCCACGGCAACACATGCCAAGGCAACACTTGCCTTTGTGACTACATACGTCACAAGAGAAGAACTCACAACAGCGGCTACACGAGCCCTCGTGACATCACCCATCACGAGTTGATATGCCTTCCTTATGCCCGGTTCCAACCTTATGGCTACCCCTAACCTTATATCTTCTTCCAACCATTACCTCCAGGACTCTTGTACTTCTTAGTCCAACCTTTTCTCTCCTAGGACCGTCGTCCCCCACCAACAAACCACCAACAAGACCACCAATTTCATAGTACACGAGGGTACCGTACACACACACGGCAACACATGCCACCCAAGAATCCGTTGGAACTCTTTGCAAAGTTCATCAGCTACTATCCAAATAGAATTGACGGTATGCTTCGATTTCCTGCATAAGGCGTCCGCTACTACATTAGCCTTTCCCTCGTGATACTGGATATCCAATTCATAGTCCTTGATGAGTTCTAACCACCTTCTTTGTCGCATGTTAAGATCCTTTTGGGTGAAGATATATTTGAGACTCTTGTGATCCGTGAAGACCTTGCAACGCACCCCGTACAAATAGTGCCTCCAAATCTTCAAAGCAAACAGCACGGCGGCCAATTCCAAATCATGTGTAGGGTAATTCTCTTCATGAACCTTAAGCTGACGCGAGGCGTACGCAATTACTCTCCCATTTTGCATCAACACACAACCTAGTCCCTTCTTGGATGCATCACTGTATACTTCAAACCCTTCTGTTCCTGATGGCAAAATTAAAACTGGTGCAGACGTGAACCTCTCCTTCAATTCCCGAAATGCTAACTCACAAGCTTAATTCCAAATGAAAGGCACTTCTTTCGTTAATAACTTAGTCAATGGTTGAGCCACCTTAGCAAAATCCAAAACAAACCTTCGATAATAACCCGCTAAACCAAGAAAGCTTCTTACTTCCGCCACCGATGTAGGCACAGTCCAATCCTTCACTGCCCGTATCTTGTCCGGATCCACAGAAATACCCTTACTATCAATCACGTGTCCCAGAAATGCTACGCTGTCCTTCCAGAATTCGCACTTCGAAAGCTTGGCGTACAACTATTTTTCCCTCAGAATCTAGAGTACCGTCCGAAGGTGTCCAACATGCTCCTTTTTATCTCTTGAATACACCATGATGTCGTCGATGAACACGATCACGAAGTCATCGAGATGAGGTTTGAACACTCGATTCATCAAGTCCATAAACACTGCAGGGGCGTTTGTCAAACCGAACGGCATCACCGTAAACTCGTAATGACCGTACCGAGTCCGAAATGCGGTCTTAGGAATATCCATATCTGCCACCTTTATCTGGTGATACCCGACCTCAAGTCAATCTTGGAAAACACTCCTGCGCCACGGAGTTGATCAAACAAGTCGTCGATTCGTGGAAGGGGTACTTGTTCTTGATGGTGACTTGGTTCAGCTCTCGATAGTCGATGCACAACCTCATACTACCATCATTTTTCTTTACAAACAATACTGGAGCTCCCCACGGCGATGTACTTGGTCAGATGTCGCCCTTGTCTAAAAGCTCTTGTAGTTGGGTTTTCAGCTCTTGCATTTCTTTCGTTGCTAACCGGTATGGGGCCTTGGAAATGGGTGCGGTGCCTGGTATAAGATCCACCGAGAATTCCACTTCTCTCGGAGGGGGCATACTCGGTATTTCCTCGGGAAAAACGTCAAGGAACTCACGGACGACGGGTATGGTCTGAGCTACATTCCCTTTTGCCTTCAGGTTTTCAACAGAGCACAAGAACAACTCATTGCCTTTCTCCACGTACTTTTTCATCTTTATCATTGATACTAACTTGATCCCGGGTTTCTCCGTCGTTCCCCGATACGACACCCTCTTCCCGCTGGGCCCCCGTAACACCACTTTCTGCTCTTTGCACCGGATTTGGGCTCTAAACCGTCCCAACCAGTCCATACCTAAGACAACCACTAGTACAAAAAACATCAATAAAATTGAATAATTCACGTCCAAAGTTCAAACTTTGGACGCCAAAAGTGTAATGCGGTGGCGTTTTTATAATTAAAATGTCGCTATATAATTTATTTTTTATTTTGTTTTTAATTAAAATGAATTGGCGTCCAAAGTTATAGACCTTTGGACGCCTGGCCTATTATTTGAGTTCAAAATTGAAAACCCTTCCTTCATCATCAGATCTACGCTCTCCACACTCCACACACCTAAATCCCTCTCCTCACCGCGTCGCCGCCGCTCCTCACCGCAATCGCATCCAGAATAGCAGAGAAACAGAGGAAAAGGAATAGAAACTCGTCGACTCTACCTTCGTCCGAGTTGGACTCCTGTTTGTTCCACCTCAGTCTCACACCAGGTCAGTCTTCGACTATTCTCCTCTTTTATTTTTTAATTCTTTTTATTGACTTAATTTATTTAAACTTACGCCATTGAATTTAGCTGATAGATTGCGGTAGAGTTAAATTCCTTAATTTTTCTTTGTTGTTTCTTTTTGGGATTTTGTTTGTTTATTTGTTTTTGGCTGCGCGGGTTAAGTTTTTCTACTCGGTTGAATCTGGGTACTAATTTGAAATTGGGAACCAATTTCACAGGGTTGAGATGGAGTCAAAGCTCATATTTCAATTAATTTACCTAATAATTCCTGGAAAAAGAAAACAATTTTTTTAAAAAAAGAGGAATTATGTAATTTATTGGAATGGTTCACTGTGAGGTTGAATTGAGAAGTTCTCTGTGCTCTAGGTTTATGAAACTTTAGTTCTGTAGATTGATGGTGGTGAATGTAACAATATGATCTGTTGGCTTGAAGATGATTGCTCATTGGTTTTATCTGGTGTATATTGTTTAATTATTTCCAAAATAAGAGCTGGGGCATGGATACACCCTTTAATTTTCATAGGTTTTATCTGGTATAAATTGTTGCATTACTTCCAAAATAAGAGCGGGGCATGGATACACCCTTGAATTTATTTGCTATGGCTCACCACTTTTTAAGCAAAATATCTTTCTGCCTTCTTTATCTATTGTGCCCATTGGCTGTTGAAAGGATCCATTAATTTCATTCTTTTCCATTCTTGGTACTAATTTGCTTGAGATGGCAACTTCTTTTTTACTCCGTCCATCCCATTAGGGAGAAGACTTGTAAGAGGTTGGTTAATTAGGAAATGACTTAACTAAATATGGTAATACAGAAAATAGGCTGCTTGTGGCTCAGCAAAAAAGGATCTTTAAATTAGTCAAATGTTTCCATCTTTTTGACATTTACTTGATGAATAAAATATTTTAGTAGCAAAAAAATAATAAATAATTACTCATTTTTTAGCGTATTGAAAAAATGAAAAGATCTAAATAGCCATGTAAGTTATATATTCTTTAACAACATATTTGGTACACATAATGAATTTTAGAAGAATAAAAGTCCTATTGAATAGGAAATGGAATAGGCAAAGAATAGAATAGGAATTCTATTCATTGTTTGGTTTGTGGAAGGGGGATTTCATTGCATTTTGTAAGATCCATGATCAACAATAAATATTAGTACATTTTGCAGTGAAAATAAAATCAAACTAGTGTAATATAATTTGCAGACATGCATTTATAATTAATTAATTTAAACATATGATCATATATAATTAAATAAATAATATTTTGATCTGTTTAAAACATGTATAATATCTTCATCATTTTTTTTATTCGTTTTCATTTTTTTTAATCTTTGATCCTCATTGCAATACAATGTAGATTGATTTGGCTTTCTGCATGTTGACATAATGCACTCCTTTAGAAAGGTGCATCCATTGTGATCATTTGTAGATAAGGATATTGTAGATGTTGTACTAAAGAGTTTGATGTTCTCCTAAATCTAAAACTGCTGCAGCCGTTTTGGAAAATTTGTTGAGATTCAGTTTGATAAACATGGAAGAATATCAGGAGCAGCTATCAGGACCTACCTCCTTGAAAGATCCCGTGTTTGCCAAGTTTATGATGCTGAGCCTAATTATCACTGCTTTTACCTACTTTGTGCAGCACCACAAGAGGTTTGATACAGCTAAAGTTACAGTACCGATTCAAATTTCTAGTCATTTTGTTATTTGACTGGTAAAGAACTTGCTAACTTCCATTAATACTCCTATTGAAATAGGTTGTTACAGATTTCATGATAACATGTATTCATTTCCTCCCTAAAATATGCAGGTTGGTAGATAAGATAAATGTTTCAATTGGGCAAGATTCCCAATCAAGGTGTATCTTTGGGGTCCTTGACATTTATGGTTTTGAAAGCTTCAAGCACAATAGGTATAACAACTACTAACATCTGGGATTTCTTGCAAGCACAATAGGTCTCCAACCCCACTGCCGCCGCTCCACGCCGCAAGCAAAGTCGCAAACTCTATGTCAGCGTTCCGCAGCAGGTAATATAGATGCAGGTTTGGTTTAATTAGATGTCCGCCCACTATAGTAATATAGATGCAGGTTTGGTTTAATTATATGTCCGCCCACTCCCATTTCCTTCCATCTCAATACATCCTTTAATTGCTCTAGCTCTATCTGAAAACCTTTTGCACGCACTATCATATCCTTCAAGAAAGAGGCTATCGAACCGGGATCGATAATCTACTCGTTTTGCTCATTGGTGGCATTCCAATTTCCATGCCAACTGTTCTTTCTGTCACCATGGCTATAGGCTCTCACCGTTTGTCACAGCAGGTCAGTAGATTCAAAACAGTGATTCTTGCTTTTGATCACAACTGTGTGTCATCGAGGAGATGGCCGGGATGGATGTGTTGTGTAGGTGATAAAACAGGCACTCTCACACTCAACAAGCTTAGTGTTGATAAGAACTTGATTGAGGTTAAGAGATCTTTTTATTCTGTCAAAACTGTATATTTTAGAGGAAAAGGAACATAAAGGTCAAGGCTCACTATTTTTGTTTTTTTTTTTTTTTTTTCAGTTTTTTCCCAAAAATATCGACAAAGATACAGTTGTATTGTATGCTGCAATGGCGTCGAGTTCTGGAAGGAATCACAAGCATGAGACTTTTTTAGCTTCAAGTTCTGGCAGGAAGATTCTTGTTTGGGATATTAGCAGGTATTTCTTCAGTACTGTTACATGGTGCATAGCTATATCTATGAAGAATTCAAGAAATGAATGCATTGTTATATGAGTTTTTTACTTTTCTTGAAATTTCTGTCAAAAATATCCCCAAATTCAAAGATAGATATACAAATGCAAGAAGAAAACAAACCTGTGTGTAATTCACTTTTTTGGCTAGTTGTGGGATGAATGCAAGACTTAGGATACCACTATCCTAAGCACAATCATATGTGGTTGATAAATGTTATCACAATATTACATCTTTTAAGTAGTTTATTTTAATTGTAAACATTTAGAATTTGTAGTTTATTTGTAGTAAAATGTTATTAAAATTGAAATTTTAGATTGGTGTGTTTTAGTTGATAAAATTGGTGTGTAGTATATACATTTTAAATTGATTAACGTTGAAATATATTATTTGGTAGTTATGCTGAGATGTACAGGAAAATATTGGTAGTTTAATAAAAAAAATGTTTTTTTTTTTTAATTTTTTTTTACTATACGCGTTTTTTACTATACGCGTCCAAAGTTCAGGAACTTTGGACGCGTATAGTATTTTTTAAAAATAAAATAAACACTATACGCGTCCAAAGTTCACGAACTTTTGACGCGAATTATCATTTTTCGCGTCCAAAGTTCTTCAACTTTGGACGCGAATAATCATTTTGCGCGTCCAAAGCTACTTTGGACGCTGATTGTTTAAACAATCAGCGTCCTCGTCATCTGCGTCCCAGCTACTTTGGACGCGAATTTGCCTTAACTTTGGACGCGAATGACTGTTTCTGTACTAGTGCACGTCTATCCCGTCAAAGTTGTACTGGATTAGATCACTAGGAAACTCCTCTCCCTTGATGTTAATATTGATGCCTTCAAAGAGACGGTCACACGTCCTAACTTCCCCGGATGCTACCTTAACGTTAAGCTTCACACCAACGCCACCGGTTAAACCAAAGTTCTTCACGAGTCCGGGTGATACGAACGAGTTAGGATGCTCCCGAATCGAACAAGATCGTTGCCGGGACGGTCTGCACGAGAAAGGTTCCAATTACTACATCACTGTCTCCTGTTCGAGCTTCACTTAAGATAGGCATTCTCCCTTGAGGTGACCCTTCCGTCAAATGGTGAACCTCTATTCTCCCGTTTCTTCTTAAATCCCGAAATGCCGGTAAGGTAGCTGCACTAGGACTTACTTTTTTTGACGTGCCGCTCCGGATCCATTGCTCAATTACCCCAGAAGCATCACTAGATTCGGCCAACCTAGATTTCTTAACCACTTCACCCGCGTCTTCAAACGCTGAGGTATGCTGACGGGGAGGCATCGCAAACTTCTACAACAACAACACGGTTATCAAAAGATAGCAAACAAGCAAAGAACAGAAAGCAACACTCAGCTAACCGCGCAACCTAGAATCCTAAGCCTAACACTTAGATTCTTAAGGTCGCTTAAAGGTCTCAAACCACACTTAGCCACTTAGTAAGTCTAGACTTAACTCCTTCCTAGGCTCAAACCTAAGCTCTGATACCAACTGTAACACCCCCTAAAAACCAGCTATTTAAAAGCCTTAAACATGCAGATAACTGAGCTAAACGACAAACACAGCGGAAGACTGAAAGATAACTAGATAAACATAAATCCAAAACATGGGGTGTTATGCCACGTTCACCAAAAGGATGAACGCTACGGCAACATCTGCAATGTTTACATCTAATCCATAGTCTCAAAGGGCTACAACTAAACTGGCACACAGGCCACAAAACAACAGGGAGAAGCTACACTAGCAAGCACTAGACCGCGCACTCATCTATACATCACCTGAAAGAACACAATAAAACATGGGATGACGCCCGGTCAGCGAACAATACTGGTAACCCACCAATACATGTGAAATATCATACATAGATAAGATATAAGTTGTAAAGCCATTTTTGAAACGGAATACATAAGTATATAAGTACAAAACCAAGAGCTAATAGTAACCACAAGATTCACCACTCTCAACAACAACAAGGGAACACATCCCAAGACCACAAAGAACAACACGACTCATAATAACGGCTCAAGGCATGATCTATCATCACACAATAGATCAAAACCCGACATGCACAACGCAAAGGAATAAGACTCACCCACGGCAACACATGCTAAGGCAACACTTGCCTTTGTGACTACATACATCACAAGAGAAGAACTCACAACAGCGGCTACACGAGCCCTCGTGACATCACTCATCACGAGTTGATATGGCTTCCTTATGCCCGGTTCCAACCTTATGGCTACCCCCAACCTTATATCTTCTTCCAACCATTAACTCCAGGACCCCTGTACTTCTTAGTCCAACCTTTTCCCTCCTGGGACCGTCGTCCCCCACCAACAAGACCACCAATTTCATAGTACACGAGGGTACCGTACACACACACGGCAACACATGCCACTCAAGAATCACGTGAACCTTACACAATGGTCACAACTCCATAATCACGTCACGACCACCACGAGGACCACTGCAATACCTTGGTGACTAGTGTCCCATGCCACTAATCGTGCAATCCAGGTAAAGCCACACACGCATCACACCTCAACAGGAATCAATCAATGGATCACAACGAAGATATGCATACTCAATCAAGGATTGGATCACAGTCCAACAACAACAACGATGAATAACACAAGTTATCATTGACCAATCGGAAGGTACAAACAACACACATGCTAGCATTTAAAAACCAAACTAGCATGCTTATCAAACGGGTAAACCAAAGATAGTTCCGAAGAACACACAAGACTCATCACGGTTCAACGAAACACAATGTTGAACACTTAGCATGATTCACGACACCAAAACCTACATGGAATCCTACCATATAGTTCTAGACATATGAAACATCAAGAAGACACTCAAATAGTTCCACAAAAGAACATCGGGAAGTCAAAAGACCAAATACCGAGTCAAAAGAATCACGGGGAACATATCCCAATCAAACACCACAGTGTTCCCCGTGGGTGGACCCACGGGTAGGCTCCCACCCGTGGTTCCGCCCGCGGGTACACTACCCACCGACTTATGTTCTCCGCGGGTGGGCGGCGAGTTGGAGCTCTACCCGTCGTTCCGCCCGCGGGTACATATACGTGTACAAAATAATCCATTCGGGAATTTTTTTCTCCAAACTCAAATTCAAGTCCAAAACATGCCAAATCTCACCAAATACAACAAAATGACTTGAATCAAAGGAAATGCCAAGCAATGGCACAAATGAACCCTAAACACAAGCTCTAGATATGCATTTTCACAAGTCAATGCATAAACACTCACATTTCATAGCAAAACACATGTAGAATCCAAGAAATATTCATATAGGTAAGCAAAATAGGTTTTGTAGAGCATGGGTTACCTCTTGTAGACTAAAGACTTCACTTTACACCTCAACAATCTCCTCTCCAGGCTCACCTTCCAAACCCACTTCAAGAACATACCAAAAGATCATAAAGATCCTATCTTTAAGAAAAGACACCTTAGATAAAACCAACAACAAGTGAAAGCTCAAGAATACCCTTACTAACAAAAGGAAGTGTAAGGAACAAGGGAGCTCCTTACAAAGCTGAATGTACAACTTTGACTTTGGGGTTGTCTAGTCAATTACTAATCCCCAACTATTAAATTTCAGGAATTTAAGGAATTAAATTACAAATTGAAATAGGATTAATTACTCGATTAATCCCTTAATTGAATTTGGATTTCGGGGTGTCACACTTAGCCACTTAGAACTCTAGACTTTTACCCTCCTAGGCTCAAAACCTAGGCTCTGATACCAACTGTAACACCCCCGGAAAAAATGCTATTTTTATAACCGTAAACATGCAGATAACTAAACCAAACAGCAAACATAGCGGAAGACTGAAAGATAGATAGATAGATATATATAAACTGGAATATGGGGTGTTATGCCACGTTCACCAAAGGGATGAACGCACAGGCAACATCTGCAATGTTTAAATCTGAATCCATAGTCTCATTGTTCTACATCTAAGCTGGCTCACAGGCCACCAAACGTAAGGGAGAAGCTATACTAGCAAGCACTAGACCGCGCACTCGTCTAGACATCACCGGAAAGAACACAATAAACATGGGACGACGCCCGGTCAGCGAATAATGCTGGTAACCCACCAATACATGTGAAATAACATACATAGATAAGATATAAGTTGTAAAGCCATTTTCGAAACGGAATACATATGTATATAAATACAAAACCAAGAGTAATTGTCAACACAAGACTCACGCTCTCAACAAGAACACGGGAACACATCCCAAGACCACAAAGGATAACCACAACACAAAGGATAAAGACAAGACCGATGGAAACACATGCCTTTGTGACTACATACGTCACAAGAAGAGAACTCACAACAACGGCTACTCAAGCCCTCGTGACATCACCCATCACGAGTTGATATGCCTTCCTTATGCCCGGTTCCAACCTTATGGCTACCCCCAACCTTATATCTAGTTCCAACCTTTACCTCCAGGACCCCTGTACACCAAGTCCAACCTTATTCCCCTGGGAACCGTCGTTCCCCCTTCAACAGTCCCTCCAACAAAACCACCGATTTCATAGTACACGAGGGTACCGATCACACACGGCAACACATGCCACCCAAGAAACACGTGAACCTTACACAAAGGCCACAAACTCTATAATCACGTCACGACCACTACGAGGACCGCTGCCGTACCTTGGTGATTAAGGCCCCATAAACCGAAATTGTGCAATCCAAGTACAGCCACGCACACAACACCTCAACAGGAATCAATCAACGGATCACAACGAAGATATGAAACCATACTTAATCAAGGAATGGATCACAGTCCAACAACAACGATGAATAACACAAGTTATCATCAACCAATCCGAAGGTACAAACAACACACACGCTAGCATTTAAACACCGAACTAGCATGCTTATCAAACGGGTTAACCAAACGTAGTTTCGAAGAACACACAAGACTCATCATGGTTCAACGAAACACAATGTTGAACACATAGCACGATTCAAGACACCAAAACCTACATGGATACCTGCCATATAGTTCTAAATATACGAAACATCAAGAAGACTCCCAAATAGTTCCACAAAAGAACATCGTGAAGTCAAAAGACCAAATACCGAGTCAAAAGAATCACGGGGAAAAAATCCCCCAACAACACCACATCGTACCCCGCGGGTAGGC